CACCATGCCCCGCTGGTGTGTTAGGGCGGGGGGGGGGGGGAGAGACCTGGCAACCCTACTCCCAAGTTGGGGGGGGGGGAAAATCACATTTAATAAGCCCAACTAATTAGGAGACTGGCTATTTGGGTAATAGTGTGAGACAGGAGGCTGGACTAGATGGACCACTGATTTGATCTAGCAGGGCTCTTCTTCTATTATGAAGGCCTCGGCCTCTCTGCCCTGTTGTTGGCCCTCCAGAGGAACTGGTTGGCCACTGTGTGAGGCAGGAGGCTGGACTAGATGGACCACTGGTCTGATCCAGCAGGGCTTTTCTTATCCTCTGCATCCCAAAGCCAGGAGGCAACATCAGGAGAAGGTCTCGGCCTCTGTGCCCTGTTGTTGGCCCTCCAGAGGAACTGGTTGGCCACTGTGTGAGGCAGGAGGCTGGACTAGATGGACCACTGGTCTGATCCAGCAGGGCTCTTCTTAATGTGGAACATGATATGCAATCACCATTAACAGTACAAGAAATGACAGTGATTTCAATCTACCTGGTGAAAATCATGTATCCGGTTTAGCAGATGAGAGCCTTGGATGCTGGCAGGCAAAAAGGTGGAGAGATCTACCAAAACAAAGGAACAGGAGGTCAAACTTTAGACATCCCAACCATTTTCATTTGCATTAGTCCTGCACGAGGTACTCTTACCGAATCCCCACCGAAATTATTACACCCTTTGCAGTTCTCCTTTCGGCTTGCTTGATGCTTCCGTTGGATAGGAAATGAATGAAAATATAATGGGGAAAGTCATGATCCAGATCTTTAATATCTGGGGAGATAATAAAAAACCATCAGAAGAAATATAGCTTATCATACCAAATCCGTAAATAGATACGGGAACTTTTCCTTCTTATTTGCAGCCCAGAGAGAATCATCATTTCATCTGGTGTAGGTGCCACTATCGATACGAGCGACCCACTCTTCCAGATAGAAATCTGCGCTCCGAATAAGGTGTACGCTCATGACTAATGTACTGCGTGGAACCCTTGAGCGGCACTCGGCTAATAGAAAAACGTACTCGCGAAATGAACAGTCGAAAAGCCCACGATTGCAGCAAATGAAAGGAATAAATTTAAATTAAAGTCAAATAAGAGAAGGGGGGGAGTCCAGGTGAGCAGAGACTGATGTTCTTAACAAGAACATTTATTTTGATTCATTATGCAGCTGGAAAATAATTATCCCCCCGTTGGAGTTCATGCATTACCCCTGCGGTTGGACAGCGAGGTGGGAGGAGGTGGGTTTTGTTCATTTTTTGTGTGAGACCTGCCTAGATGCCAGTTAAAAATAGACCCCTTTACTTGCTCAAGTCTTAAGAACATAAGAACATAAGAGATGCCAATGTTGGATCAGGCGAAAGGCCCATCCAGTCCAACACTCTGTGTCACACAGTGGCCAGAAATACCAGGTGCCATCAGGAGGTCCACCAGTGGGGCAAGTCTTAAAGGCTTGCCCCTGCCCACCATTCTTCTGCTTCCCGTAATCTTATCACAGCCACTTGGCAGAACCGTTGCAACATCACGGAATGTTGATGAATATTCCATAGCTGTTGAGAGCTATGTTGGAAGGGAAAGTATCTGCTAGAAGGGAATGGGAAAGGGACTGAAGGCGGAGCCATCGCAGGGGCTTCATGACGCTTCTGAGTCCAAGCTACAAAGCAGAGAAGGACATGAGGATCAAGGAGATTGAGAAAGAGTAAATTACAGGTTCAGTTCTCTAGTGATGACCTTTGGTCACTTTAAAACTCACACGGAATTTAGGGGTAATCCTAAATTTAATATATACCGTATGCTCATGGGATTACAGCTAGCAACGTCACCACAGAAACACCCAGAGAGGCCAAGTGGGAGCCTCTAGCCCATGGATGGTGGAAGGGGACACTGCTCCATGGTCAATGCTTCCTCTAAACTGTGGAGTTTCATGAGCAAAAATTCTACTTTGTGAGCTGCTGGCATGAAAGTTGTGAGCGAGCGATTTGGCTCCTGCATACATTAGTTTGCTTGGGAGCCAGCCTTCCTGAGCTAAGACAAAAAATGTGGGAGCCGGTGGCTAAAAAACTGAGCTAGCTCACACAAACTCAGTTTAGAGGGAACACTGGTCCTGATCCCATGATCTACCTGCCCTGAAGTTCTCCTGTTCCTGGGAAGACCAGAATAAAGATGACAGGAAAGATTAGAGCGTGCTTGTGTCTCTGTGGGAGAATCACATCTCTGGACCAAGAGACATATCACTGCAGCTTTTGGTGAGAACTGAGGTAGGCTAACAGCCCCACCCCCAAGGATCTGGGTGCTTTTGGGCTGGAGAACGGGGAGAGGGGAGCATCGCAGACACTGTGAGGTTGCTTCTGGGTAATCAAGTACACAACATCATAGCCCCCCTAACACTCAAGGCCTGCCCGTAACCTCTTACAACACAGACCGAAGAGATGAATGGAAGTTCCTAGAGTATTGCAGAGACTGTGATATCTATTCCAGGATCCCAGAATTTCCCTGCCACTCAATTTTTTTTTTACAACGTAGCCGTCTCCTTAGAGCTTACAATGATAGCCCCAGAGGGGATATGCCATCTGATTTTCCCGCCTACTCAGCGGCTCAAAAGCCTGTTAAAGGGCAAGTAGACAAATGGGTACCTGCTCCTAGAGCGGGGGGAGGCACCCGTCCCTCGTGGCGTGGTGGCAGCGTGAGCAGCGGAGCGGCGGCGGTGGCGGCAGAAAGCATGGCGGCTGGCAAGTCGAGCGGCGGGCAGAGGCTGGGCCAGCAAGCACGGAGGCGGGGCGACGCAGCAGGCCGGAGCCTATTGGACAGAGGCCAGCAGCGAGCACGCGCGGACGTGCGCTCGGCCCAGGCTCGAGGAAGTCGCAGGCAGCCGAGAGAAGACCTATGCCAGGAGGACATCGCCGCCGGACTAGGAAGATCTTCCGCAGATAACAACAACGAAAGACACGCTAGAGGGTGCCTGTTAGGCTAGTCACCTCCCCAATGTATGTGTGTGGCCCTAGGTAAGGATTGATTGTATTTGAATATGTGAACCACTCAGAGCCCTTAGGGGGTGAGCGGTATACAAATTGAAGGATAAATAAATAAATAAAAATAGGCCTTTGTAGCACCAGGCCTTCAGAAGTACTCTGGGTTTTGACAACAAACAAGGTAAACAGAATAAGAAGCAAAAGGTATGTGTGGCTGGATGACCAAACTTCTGGTGACATGGGGTGTGGCCTAATATGCTAATGAGCTGTGCTGTCAGGGGTGTGGCTTAATATGCTAATGAGTTTCTGTTGTTGGGTGTGGCCTATTATGCTAATGAGTTCCTGCTGGGCTTTTTCTACAAAAAAAGCCCTGGAATCAAGGAACAATTCTCTATGTCCCTGTGCATTTTATGTGACACTTCCTCCAAGAAACTCAGTCTGGCATACATATCACCTTCCCAACGCTGCTCCATTTTTATCATCAGAAAACTCCTGTGGTGTATGCCAAGCAGAGAGCAGGTGACAGGCATGTGACCGTCCAGTGCATGTAACCATCCAGCGAGCTACTATGGCAGAGTGGCGATATGAACATAGGTTCTCGTCCAGGAGTCCCCAACGTGCAGGCACCTTTGGAAATCTGACACAGCATTGTGGGCACAGCCACAAAATGGCTGCCACAAAATGGCTGATGCAGGAGCTTGAACCAGCTACAAAATGGTTTCCTCATCTTACCTTCAATCAAGTCAACCTTCATTGGCATATATCAGTGAATCAAAGTCATTATAAAATATATATAAGTAGAAAGGCACCACAAATACATTAAATAAAATCATAGGTTACAACCAGTGTTCCCTCTAAGCTGAGTTAATGTGAGCTAACTCACAGTTTTAGCCTCCGGCTCATACGTTTTTGCCTCAGCTCTGGAAGGATGGCTCCAGGGCAAACTAGTTTATGCAGTAGCCAAATGTCTCGCTCACTACTTTCATGCCGGTAGCTCACAAAGTAGAATTTTGCTCACAAGACTCCACAGCTTAGAGGGAGCATTGGAGGGGACCACAAAAATATTGCAACTTGTTTTTAACAGTTGTATAATATGTTGAATATGGTTTTATGGTTTTAAAACTGTACATCGCCTAGAGCCCCACATTTGTGGGGATGAGGCGATCCACAAATATAATGTAATAAATAAATTAAATAAATAAACTGTATGGACAGTTCCATATGCAAACCGTGTGGATCATGCCCTGTAACCATAATAAGTAGACAAAGAATGAGTTTTTACGAAGCTCAAAATGGATATGGGCACTACGTAGTACAATGACATAACTATACATATAATGTTTTACAGGCCTACACGTGACAGCGATGAGGAAGAGGACGATGAGAAAAAAGGCAGAGGCTGTACCCTCCAGTATCAGCATGCCGTAGTGCGAGTCCTCACTCAGTTTGTCGCTGAGTCGTCCGATCTGGGAGGGCAGCTGACCTACATGCTGGACTCCGAGTGGCAGTTTGATATCACGGATCTCGTGGCTGACTTCATGAAAGTGGAAGAGCCCAAAGTGGCCAAGTTACAAGATGGCCGAGTTCTGTTAGGACGTGAGCCAGGAATCACCACAGTTCAGGTACCAAAGCAAGGCAGGGTACTGATCAAGAGGGGCCCTTGGTCCACTCCATGACTTTTATTTTTCTGATCTTCTTAAGGCAGTTCAATGAAGGTTGTTTTCTTGACCCAATTCCCACCACTTGAGCTGCAGGTCCACCAAATAGCTAGGGAAGGATTGTGGGACTGGATGTACAAGGAAACCTCTGTTGCAGCAGGGATGTCCAAAGGCTGCGTGTGACCAAGGGCTATTCTTGTGTGACATTTTGAGCATGCACATATGAGGCGGGTTAGGCTAAGAAAGTGACTGGCCCAAGCTCACCCAGTATGTTTCATGGCAGAGCAGGTATTTAAACTTCCCCGGTCCTCGCACTCTCTTGGTTTCAGCTCTGGCTGCTTGACGTGAATTGTCTCCCTCTTTGCTTTTCTGGAAGGTTCTGTCACCTCTCTCCGATTCCATTTTGGCGGAGAAGACCGTGATTGTGCTGGAAGATCGGGTGACCATCACGGACCTTGGGGTACAACTTGTAGCAGGCTTGTCACTCTCGCTCCAGGCGAGTAAAGGCAACAAGAGGGTGATCGTATGTACAACATCTGCTTCGGATATCCTTCATTCACCAAAACAGGTAAGGGTTATGGAGGGGGGCTAAGATTCAAGGTTCACAATCTATAGTAATTTAAAAAGCATAGTTCCAGAGGGTAGTCGTGTTGGTCTGTAGTAGAACAGTGACATTTTAGTATGGTAGCACTTTAGAAACCGACAAGATTTTGGGGGTATACCAGGGTGCCCACGGGCACCACACCACGTTGGGGACTCCTGCACTAGATCACAGTGCCTCTCTCATTTCTGAGGTGCTTGATATACCGTGTTTCCCCGAAAGTAAGACATCCCCCGAAAATAAGTCCTACTTGCAGTTTTGCCTCTCGCTGAAATATAAGGCATCCCCCCCAAATAAGACCTCCCCGATAATAAGGCCCCCCAGAGCAGACAGGAAGTGCAAGGTCTCTTTTAATCAGAGAGCCTGCGCCGCCGCCAGGACAAGCTACCGCCTGCTGCTCGCTCTGCCCTGACGGAGTGTACCGTATTCTTCTTAATAAGACATCCCCTGAAAATAAGACCTAGTGCATCTTTGGGAGCAAAAATTAATATAAGACACTGTCTTATTTTCGGGGAAACACGGTAAAACTGCCATAGACCAGTATAATTTGACACATAGAGGACTGTAGAACAGGGACTTAACAGTTAAAAGAAAGTTTATCCGAAGGATAAACTTGCCTGCTCTTCATCATAGTGCTCCTACATAGACATGTTGCGCTGTCCTATGCCACTCCTTCTGGCATCAGGACTGGAAAAATGTGGTTCAAAATCCCTGTTCGGCCATTCAGCTGCTTGAACTTGGGCAAATCTTTCGTGGGATCTAAAATTCTGCCCGAACAATGAAGAAAAACTGACAGGAAGAAATTTCCTTTCCTAATTAATATAAGACACTGTCTTATTTTCGGGGAAACATGGTAAAACTGCCATAGACCAGTATAATTTGACACATAGAGGACTGTAGAACAGGGACTTAACAGTTAAAAGAAAGTTTATCCAAGGATAAACTTGCCTGCTCTTCATCATAGTGCTCCTACATAGACATGTTGCGCTGTCCTATGCCACTCCTTCTGGCATCAGGACTGGAAAAATGTGGTTCAAAATCCCTGTTCGGTCATTCAGCTGGTTGAACTTGGGCAAATCTTTCGTGGGATCTAAAATTCTGCCCGAACAATGAAGAAAAACTGACAGGAAGAAATTTCCTTTCCTTTGGATTTGATTTCCTTTGAAATGTGGTGTTGGCGGCGAGTTTTACGGATACCGTGGGCCACCAAAAAGACAAATCAGTGGGTTCTAGATCGAATCAAGCCTGAACTCTCCCTAGAAGTGAAAATGACCAAAGGCTGCGATCATGTGCACAATTAGACCCACCATGGGTGTGAATGCCAGGCAGATTTAAAGGGCGCAATCAGACAAGAACATCTGGGAAGCACCCCACAGCCGTCAGCAACCTGTTCTGCTCCACCGCAGAAGCGGAGTTAAAAGACACCAGTGAAAATCCAGTAGTTAACGGGTTGCGATGGACCACGGATGGACTTTCCCATGATGTCTGATCACTCCAGCGCTCTCTCATGGCATTGGAATGGTCTGATCAGGCCATCCTGACTCCATGCAGTTGTTTCCCCCCCCCTTCACAGTATGCACATCGTCGCAAACTCCATAGGGAGCTCTTGGTGCAGAGGTGCGGTTCATCGATCCCTTGGTTAAGTGCACAGGGGGGAAATGGCACACAAAAAACCCAAAATGACTCACCTGCGGTTGTATCTGTTCACGCACTGATGGACTGCACCCGCAGCTTCAAAGGGAGGTGTGATTGTGCAACTACAGGTCAAATTCCTCCGGAGGAAATAGCCTTGCTTCCCCCCCGTTTTTTCTGGCACATGTGACCGCAACCAAACTGAGTCTGTTGCACTTTGGTCACATTATGACAAGACCAAAGTCACTGGAAAAGACAATCATGCTTGGAAAAGTGGAAGACAGCAGGAAAAGAGGAAGAACCTCTCTGTTTTTCTCTCTCATATTATGTTTATATTGTATGCTGGTCTTAAGACCGTAATAATAAAAAGAGGAAGACCCAACCTGAGATGGATTGACTAGATCAAAGAAGCCACAGCCCTCAGTTTGCAAGACCCTGAGCAAGGCTTTTAATGACGGGATGTTGTGGAGGTTATTAGTTCATAAGGTTCCCATAAGTGAGAAGTGACTTGACAGCACTTCACACACACACACACACACACACACACACACACACACACACGTTGCTATTTTCTCAGACCCCATCTGTAATATGGGGATAAAAGTAATGCTGGCCTCTCGTAACGATTATTACTCTTGTAATAATCTGCGGTGGCTCAAGTGGTTAAGATGCTGAACTGCAGGCTGTGGATTCCCCCCCCCCTACACCTGGAATGATTAACAATGAATTCTTCCTTTAAGCATCCCAAACAAAAATCCACAGGTTGCCTTCACATCCCAGATAGAGGACACGACACAACAACATTGGGTTAGGCTATGCTTCAGTAAGGACTCATTTGCCTAATTAAATCCATGTTTAAATAATACCCCCCTAGGGTTGTCAGATTTCCCTCGGCCACCAGTTACAATTCAGCAGTCTCTCTTTCTAGTCTCCCTGCTGGATTGTAATTGATAATGAAGCTCAAGACAATGCACCCACCTGGATTGAATCAAGACCTAGGTTTCCTGTTTCATTACCAATGCTGATTTCTCCATGCCTACTACCCCTCTGCATATCTCACCTAAATCCAATCACACCTGCTATTGTCATTCACCTGCTATTGTCATTCGGCATCAGTAATCACTCCACTTTCCAATAAATAGGAGAGATGGACTCCCATTCTAGCTGCATCTGAAGAAGTGAGTGGTGACTCATGAAAGCTCACACCCTACCACATATTTTGTTAGTCTTTAAGGTGCCACTTGGACTCTTGCTCTTTTCTACTGCTACAGACAGACAAATACAGCTACCCATCTTGAGTAATCTTAGTGAGTGTGGTAGAAGCTTGGGAGGGTGTTGGGAGGATAATAATTTTGACCGAGAGCTAAGAAAGGAAATATGAACTGCTGCCTTTATCTAATCATCAGATCTTGAAACAGAAGATTTGTGGATTTGTTTTATGTGATCAACAAAAGAGTCTGCAGGCACGTGTACAGAACTGTGACATGCACACAGTCCCTATTGTCTGAGAGCCAGTTTGGTGTAGTGGTCAAGAGCGGCGGACTCTAATCTGGATAACTGGGTTTGATTCCCGACTCCTCTGCATGACGCCTGCTGGGTGACGGTGGGCCAGCAACAGTTCTCTGCGAACCCTCTCAGCTTATAAAAACCAACTCCTCCTCCGCCTCCTCCTCCTCCCTGCTAAAATTGTGTTGTCTCATTCAGCCCATTTAATTGACTTTTGTGCTCTTCCCCTGTTTTCCTTCTATTTATTTATTTATTTTCGTATTTCCTTCTACTGTAGGAAGCTGTGGTCAGTGCTTGGATTCTGTTCAGTGATGGATCCGTGACACCGCTGGACATCTACGATACAAAAGATTTCTCGCTCACTGTTACATCACTGGATGAAATGGTGGTGTCGGTCCAGCACAACCAGGAGGATGACCAGCCAGCGGTGGTGGCGGAAGGCGACGGGCAGGGGCCACTCATCAAGATAGAAATGGTGATCAGTGAACCCTGCCAGAAGTCCAAGCGGAAGAGCAGCTTGGCGGTTGGCAGAGGAAGCATCAAGGTGAAGTTTGGCCAGAAGGACTTGGACCACAAAAGTGACACCAACGATGTCGAAGACGTGGATGCCGATTTTAAAAACCATGGGAGTAACTCGGTGGAGAAGTCAATGGAGCAAGAGAGGACGAGGCAAGATTGGCCCAAACATGGAGCTTCCATTGATCATGAAGAGGCCACCAACCAAAGCACAACTTCCAAGCCTCCCATTGATCACACGGTCGGGGAAGACCATCTCCAAAACAGCCCAACTTCCTTAACAAGCTTTCCCACACAAATAGACGTTCCTGGGCAGAATAACCCCAGTGACCTCACTTTGGCTTCCAGAGGCTTGACGGATCTTGAGATCGGCATGTATGCCCTTCTCTGTGTCTTCTGCTTGGCCATTTTGGTCTTCTTGATCAACTGTGTGGCCTTTGCTTGGAAATACAGGCACAAAAGGTTTGCCGTCAGCGAGCAAGGCAACATCCCTCATTCCCACGACTGGGTATGGCTCGGAAACGAGGTCGAACTCCTAGAGAACCCCGTGGACATCTCGCTGCCTTCAGAGGAGTGCACCACCATGATAGACCGAGGGATGCAGTTTGAGGAGAGCAATTTCCTCCTCAATGGGAGCTCGCAGAAGAACTTCCACAACCAAATCCTTCGGTCCGCCGAATATGACTGTGAGAAAGATCTCAGAAACGAACCCATCAACCCGCCGGGGCCCAAACGGAAACGAGTAAAATTCACATCCTATACCACCATCCTCCCGGAGGATGGTGGACCATACACCAACTCTATCCTCTTTGACAATGACGATAATATCAAATGGGTATGCCAAAATATGAACCTTGGCGATTCGAAGGAACTTAGGGACTATATGGAAAGGCTACAGGACAATATGTAAAACTAAATGATATATAAAGATATATATATATATATACTTTCTTATGTTTGTATTCACCTTTATGCCTTCTGTTTTATGGATGATGGAGCAGTCAAACCCAGCCAGCAATAGGAGAAGTCTCTCCAAATTTTGGGAGGTCCCATGATATTAACTTCGTATTGTTTTTGATCAGGTGCAAGAAAGAGCTGGCTGTGTTAATCCCCCGTTTCACCAGATACCAGGAGATGATGCGTGTCAAAACAGCTACCTGCAAATTTTTGGAGGTTTTACGCACAACCAGCTGTTTTTCCTATGCTACCTGGTACTAGCGAACGCCGATCCGGCTATGCACCTAGACTCAGAAGACGGGTTGGCGTTTCATCGTACAGCAAAGAGTTAAATTCAGAAAATGAACATTGGTGGGGTGGGGGGACTGGTGGTTTTTCTAGAGGACGTTCTTTGTAAAAGCACAGTAGACATTCCTTGCTTACAGCCTGAATCGAGGCCTCTTATCAAGGATCAGAATGAATCGGTTTAATGTAATCTGCCTATACGTAAATGCAGGCTGATACATACTTAGGGTTTTTTAAGGAAAAAAACAACAACACTATACATCCCTGTGGTTAATTTGTTTAACTGTATTGTTTTTCAAGCTTTCTTGATTTATGGAACATTTATATATTTTCTTTCGCTATACCCTCCCCGGTTGTACCAAAGTGTACTATGATAATCTTTTCCATTAGGGCTTCACCGTTTAGTCGAGAAATCAATTTTAAAAATATGCCGCCGATGAATCGGGCAGCAGATAATTTTCGATTAACTATTTTTAACAGTTTCAAAAATGTAGATGGTAGAGGGCACCTTAGAAGAGGTGTCTCCCCCCCCCTTCCTACACAAAAATTGGTTCCTGCGAGCAACTTCATGGCGTCTGTCCATGATCTGTCCACAGCTCATAGCCGTGTTTGATAAAGAGAACCTCTACGTTCAGAGGACTGAGTGATGCTGATATGAGTTGCTGATTGGAAACCGGGGGTGGGGGGTGGGCTACTGCCTTCATGTCCTGTTTGTGTGCTTCTTGGGGGCACAGGGTTGGCCACTGTGGGAGACGGGATGCTAGACCAGACAGTCTGTCGGTCTGATCCAGTTATCTTCTGAAGTTCATGGAGGCAGTGCCTCTTCTAAGACCGTGCCCGCGGTGACATTTTTAAGCATCACCTAAAAACAAAGAGAAGGTGTTTCGTTCTTCAAAATGACTGTGTTTACTCACATGCAGAGTTATGTAGATTTAATCAATTAATCGATCAGTCTCTTAAAACTCACAAGGTTAATCGACTAAAATGTATTTAATCGGGTGACAGCCCTGGTTTCTATGTTTTTCAGGGTTCTGTTTGGTTTTGTTTCTGTTTCCTTGGCTTCGTTCCCTAATGATACCTCTTCCGTTTCTTCTTTCCAAATAAGTGTTTTTTAAAGAAATATAGAAAAGGTATCAATCTTACACTTGGGGGAAGGAAAGGTTCTTATCTTCTTACAGGGAAGCTGTATATACAATAATAAAACCCTGGGTGGGGAGAGAAAAGTTAAACAGCTATTTCTGGGTTTTGTTTTTAATGGCTTGTAATATTAAAATCCGTGGGAAACCAAAAGAGAACACAGTTAAACGTGATGCCTCCAGGTGAGGTTATGCAGGCACAGCAGTGGCAATTTGCAGATTTGCGGAAGTCCCCCAAAAGATCCCAAATGGTTCTTGCTTCCCAAGGCACCTGGATGGGGGGCTGAACAAGGTGTGAATCGAGCCTTAAAGTAATTTGTACAGTACATCCTTCACACAACAGATGTCATTTTTACAGAACAGAGTGGATTGGATCCAGTGGCGCCCTTTCACTCATGGAAGAAGTGTTCTTTTCTCAGACGGCCATCGTCTGCTCATTGAAAGATGCACTCATAGCTCTGACCTGGATCGTCCCGGCAAGCTCGATCTCATGAGATCTCGGGAGCTAAGCAGGGCCAACTGTAGCAAGTACTTGGATGGGAGACCTCCTTGGAATACCAGCAGTCGAGAGCAATGTTCCCTCTAAGCTGTGGAGTCTTGTGAGCAAAAATTCTACTTTGTGAGCTACTGGCATTAAAGTTGTGAGCGAGTGATTTGGCTACTGCATCAGTTAGTTTGCTCTGGAGCCATCCTTCCTGAGCGAAGACAAAAATGGGTGAGCCGAAGGCTAGAAAATGGTGAGCTGGCTCACACTAACTCAGCTTAGAGGGAAGACTGGTCGGGAGGCAGGGGCAGGCTTTATTCGGCCACCTCTCTGAATATCCTCCGAGCCCCCAGTAGGGGTCAGTCACCAGAGGTCACCATGACTTCCAGGTGCACACCTAGAACTAGTGGTCACTCCATGAAATTGCTGAACAGTCGAGTTAGAACAGATAAAAGGAAGTACTTCTTCACCCAAAGGGTGCGTTCAGACGGGGTGTTTCAGCCGGCATAAACTGTACCAGTTGGAACCGATGCAGTTTATGCTGGCTGAAATGTGATCACACTTACCTCCTGTCTGCGGAGCCCATCGCTGTATGCCTGTTCACACGCAGCGGGCGTCGGCAGTTTGGGTTTTTTTATAACTCACTTTGCGCATGCGCATAGGCAGCCATCCACAGAATGACGATCTTCACGCATGCGCAAAACACCCTGTCCCGAAAAGCATGCCCTGAAGAGAGGACTTACCTTTAAAGTTTAAAGAGCAAACTGGCCTCCCTGAGGTCCCGGACTCCTCTAAAACGTTAAACTAAGGACCTTTTCTTTTAAAAAAAAACAAACGTCGGGGCGAAGCTTCGCCCAAGCGCATATCGCCAACCTAAAAAAAAAAAAAGGCGGGTGAAAATCGGAAGCCTCGGGCTTCCGAACGGAAGTGGCTCTACAACGGTGGAGAGCGATCAGACAGGGGTGGGTAAAGCAATTACAACCGTTGCACTCAGGATACCACCACTTGGGGACCTAGTGGCAGAATACAACGGTTTAAAGCTCTTTGCAATGGTTAGGGACGGAAGGCAGATGTTCTACGTGTGAACGCCGGTAAGTACACCGATTCCAACCAGCACCTATACCATTGCAAATGCCCCGTCTGAACGCACCCAAAGAGTGATTAACACATGGAATTCACTGCCACAGGAGGTGGTGGCAGCTACAAGCATGGACGGCTTCAAGAAAGAATTGGATAAGCATATGGAGCAGAGGTCCATCAGTGGCTATTAGCCACAAGGTATAGGGAGGAACTCTCAGGCTGGGGCGAGTGATGCCCTGTATCCTTGGTGCTTGGGGGGGGGCAAGAGTGGGAGGGCTCCTAGTGTCCTGGCCCCACTGCTGGACCTCCTGATGGAACCTGGTATTTTTGGCCACTGTGTGACAGAGTGTTGGACTGGATGGGCCACTGGCCTGATCCAACATCAGCTTCTCTTATGTTCACACACACACGAAAAAATACAAAAAAATACCAACAGGAAAAAAAAGACACACACATAGAAGGATGTCTTCTGTTAGCAGAACATTCCATCCATGAATGGAAAAGCCACCTTTGGATCCAACGAAAAGTAAGGACGTGGACATAAAATGACAAACACCCTGAAGCTGCCTAATACAGAGTCAGAACATTGGTCTGACAAGAACGTTGTCTACTCTGCCTGGCAGCAGCTCTCCGTGGTCTTCCTGAGTAGAGGTCTTCCCAGTCTTTAAATGAGAGATGCCAGGAACTGAAGAGTGGAAAGCAGATGTTCAGCCACTGAGTCATGGCCCCTCCTGTATGGTACAGTCTAAACCGGAAGCAGAGACGGAAGTCTGATCCTTTTGTTCATGGAAATAGTCTTAGGTGGATCTAATTCTGCAGTGGAATGTGACTTGGTTGTCTCTTTGAGCCAGTTTGGTGTCGTGGTTAAGTGCGCGGACTCTAATCTGGCAGAACCGGGTTTGATTCCCCACTCCTCCACTTGCACCTGCTGGATGTCCTTGGGCAAGCCATAGTTCTGATAAGAGCTGTTCTTGAAAAAGAGCAGTTTCTGTCAGAGCTCTCTCAGCCCCACCTACCTCACAGGGTGTCTGTTGTGGGGAGGGGAAGGGAAAAGGAGTTTGTAAGCCCCTCTGACTCCTTTGGGTAGTGAAGGGCGGGGCATAAATCCAATCTCCTCCTCCTCCTCTTCTTCTTCTTTTCCCACCCTACAGTGGTAATGTTTGCCATAGAAGGTAGTTGGCAGAGGGGCCTTTTTCCAGTACCATTGTTTCAAAGGAGGTGTTCATGGTGAAGAGGAAGAAATATGGAACCGTTTGATAAACTTTCAAAGTATTCAGGGAAGCAATTAAACACCTGTATTTCGACAAGGATTTTTTTTAAAAAAACAGAATACTAAAAGACCAGGTTTGACTCAGGCAAGATCAAAAGACATCTAAAGTACAGCACGATCTCTCAATTAAAATTGTGTTTAAATTGCCACGCTCTCCATTTGGGACTCTTTCCCCCTTTCCCAGGAGCAAACCTACAAAGGTGGTTTTTAGGAATGGTTAATTATTTAAAATAGCACAATAGCTACACTTCGGGAATACTGAATGCTGCTAATAGAACAAAATTTGAGTCCAGTGGCACTTTTAAGACCAACAAAGTTTTATTCTGGGTATTAGCTTTCGTGTACGTGCAGACTTCTTCAGTTATTTGTGCGTGGAAATTTATACCCAGAATAAAGATGCCACTGGACTCAAACTTTGTCCTGTTACTTCAGACCAACACAGCTACCCACCTGAATGCCTCTAAAATATGAATTCATTGCCACACAGGAGGTGGTGGCGGCTACAAGCATGGACGACTTCAAGAGTGAATTGGATAAACATACGGAGGAGAGGTCCATCAGTGGCTATTAGCCACAAAGTATAGATAGGAACACTCAGTCTGGGGCAAGTGATGCTCTGTCTTCTTGTGCTTGTGGGGGGGTGTATTTCACTGGTAATGCAGCGTACATTCAGAAACATGGCCGAGGTTGAACCCTGT